CATAGAGTTACCATAAGAACTAGTGATTCTACTCCTGGGTATGTACCCAACTGAAAAGAAAACATATATCCGCACAAGAACTTATATATAAACGTTCACAGCAACGTTATTCTTAATAGCCAAAAAGTAGAGATAATCCAAACGCTCATCAACTGATGAATGGATACACAAAATGTGGTACATCCATGCAATGCAATATTATCTGGTAATAAACAAGAATGAAGTGCTGATATATGTTATAACATGGAAGAACCTTGAAAACATTATGCTAAATAAAAGAAGCCAGACACAAAAGGCCAAATATGGTATGATTCCATTTTATAAAATGTCCAGAATAGGCAAAGCCACAGTGACAGAGGGAGATTAGTGGTTGCCAAGGGATGGGATGGGAGATGGAGAGGATCGAGACAGATAGCTAATGGGTATAAGGATGTTTTTAGAGGGAGGACGTAATGAAAATGTTCTAAAATTGATTGTGGTGACAGTTGTACAAGTCTTTATTTTTTTTATGATGCTGGCAACTTCCATAATAAAAAATTATTTTAAAACTGCAAAAGCGAAGGGGGAAAAGTAGCCCTAGAATCTGTTGTGTCCACTGTGAGGGCACTGCCCCAACCTTAGGACTTGAAATCCTGGCAGTCTATAATAGTTCTACTGCTCTCCTTGGCACAGAAGATGTCATCTGATCTTCAGATGACACTCACCAAAGGGGAGAGGTCAGTCGCTAAGTGTGGAAAGCCCAATCACAAATGCCACTGACAGATGTCAGTCCACACTGTCAGGTCCTCTCATGAATACTAACTGAAAATCTCATCAGGAAAAAAATTGTACTGGTATTGTATTTACCTGGTGTTCACAGTGTTTGCAGACCATGTTACTAGTGAGTCTTCCATGAAAAGGATGTTGAGACTTCCAGTGATTGGACGTGGGGTGAGGCGACCCTGGAATGCAAAACATCTTTTGATATGTTACTTTTAGCCCTTTGGCACCAATCTCAAAATTTACCCTCCCTTGTAGTAGGTGGTAAAAATTCCCCTTTGGGAAAAAATGTTCTTGAAAGTACTTTGAAATAGTTTCTCTCATTGACCTCCGTCAAAAAGACATCCCATTTCTTCATAGGAAAATTTATATAGATCTTTACATGGGGTTTCTGTGTAATGGGTACAGGCACATTTTAAAAAAGAATTTGTGATTAATAATATCTTTTTACAAATATATATTTAAAAGGTTTGCAATATCAAAAGAAGGATACCACAAGTAGACATTCCATAAAGCGAGATAAACTTCTGAAATGATCAGAATAAGCAAGTTCTGAAGAACTGGGATTTTCTTTGTCTAAGAATGGGGTTAATGGAACAAATACTAGTGAGAAAAACGGGCTCTGGAGATGGGAATGGGGATAATTATTATCCCACTACCCCTAGTATCACGAGCTTCAGAGAATTATGAGGCTTAAATGAGATATGGCAATGGCTGGCACACAGTACAAGTTGAAAAAATATTTGTTCCTATTACTACTAATGCAAATGTGTGAATTTTTTTTTAATTTAAGAAAAAAACTATTTCCTTCTAAGGAGCCAAAGTGGAAATGCTGAGGAGTCAACAGATTCATCTTAAGTTCTTCCCAGGATCATTTCAAGAAGGTAAAAAGAAAGCCCTGTTTGAAGCACAAGTCCATTTAGAAGAAACTGAGCAGGACTAGGTGTGGGGGAACACCAAGAAAATCCTTTGAAGCTGTTTCCAGAACACAAATTCCCTTGCAAGTACATCACC